ATAGCTAGAAATAGATTATTTTTTAATTACTGCGATGTGCTGTGAAGAGTTGGGGCAGACCAGCAAGTATAAGCTCTAGAACTAGAGTTTCTTTAAATGAGGAAAAAAAGGGATTATGCTTGGCTAATAGGGTCACAAATATGCTTGCCTACTCATCTAGTACAGCATTTACTAGAAAAGTTAATGCAGGATGTACAGAATTTTCCAGTCTTCCCTAGCTACAACATGAGCACTGGGTTCAGTGGAGGCTAATCTATTTTAAAGTTGTAAATTTATTTATACAAGAATCAGTATGTACTTCGCAGGATTTGAGCAATCACTTCAAATGAGGGTAAAGCAAGAATATTTGCCATCTGTTTATTTGTGGATTGCACATGTGAACTGGGCTCAAAAAAAAAAACCAAAACAGGCCACCCCAAACTCATAAATGGTGTGCTTGTAAGGCTCTTATTCTGGGAGTATTCTACATGTGAATTAACTCTAAAAATTGTAATGCCAGAGCTAATTCAGGAGTGTCTCTTCTTGTAAGAGCTGATTTTTTTTGGTTGAAATTAGTCAGATGCTTTAAGTGAAAGAATTCAGCTTGGTAACTTTACTGAAATTGGACCAGTATCTTGTTACTATCAGGTAAGAGGATAAAGTAACTATACTTGATCTAGGGTTCAGTTTGACGGTTTCTGGGATTCACACAGTCAAAATTGAGCTGGCCCTTGTAACCATGTAGCTGATATGAGCTCTGGGCTACTGGGGAGCATCCATTCTTTCTTGCTGGCATTACCAGTTAGTGGAGTTACTGGGGAGCAGATCTGGCTAAAAATGAGGTTTTTACTTAGGTCCCCATCTGTCTGCACAAGTTGCAGTGCTGGCCCACAAAGGCTATTTCACTGCTGGGTGGGCATCTGTTGTTAAAATAACTGAGTTGTGCTAGTTACCACTGAGTTTACTGGAAACTGTTCCTAGTGACTGCTTTTACTTCCCAATAGGCAGAACTACTGTATGTAATTGCTTGAGACTTTCTTTAAAGTAATCTACAGTTAGTGTGTAAGCACGATACAAAATCCTTTGGGACATGTTACTACTTGTCATTAGCACGGAGTGCAGTCAAATCAGTATTAGAAAAAACTAGCAGTATATATTTTTTAATTTTGAAGGTGTGGGCTTTGGCTGCTCCTTCCCTCGCTAGGAAATCTTAATGTTATGTACTAATGAGACTGACTTATTTGTTCTTGCAACTCATAAATAACCATTAGAAGAAGGCTGTTCTAAGGCTGGTTGTATCAACAGAGCCTCTTGATCTGTATCTTTTCATTTATTGATGGAGATTGTATTTTGAATATCAGACTGATTGATTCATGGTATAACATGGAGAAGAATAAAATGTTCTTGGTTTGTAGTAACATATATGTTGATGTATTGTACAGAGCAATATACTAATAACATATAGAATACGTTACCTAGTAACATATAAACGTAAAAGTCCAATTAGGGTTACAAATGGATAAAAAAAAAACCCTAATCCACTATCCATTCAGATACTCTGCATAACTTCCTGTACTTGTTCTTGGATAAGGGCTATTTTCTATGACTTAGTATTTAAATAGTGTGTAAGTAGCAAAGGATGGAGATAACTTTTTCCCTCTTTTTTAATAGGAACATGTTAGATTGAATTTCCACTGTCAGTCTCAGCTGAGGCACACGTTTCCTTTTCAGAGACAGAAAATTTGTAAAATTCTTGCCTTCAGTGAGAGCTTTGATTCACTGATGGCCTTGCTGTATTCTGGTTTTCCCTCCCTTCCATCCCACTAATTTGGAGGGAGTCATTGCTAACAAATGCAGTTTGCTCTTCCTTCAGAAGTGACCCTTAGCAGGTGTGGTGGAGGGCTGCCGCCTGAGCTTGTCCCATGGTGCATACCTAGATCAGACCATTACAAAAAAGGAGGGATATGTGCTGTTTCCTACAGTGTACAAGAAAGCATCACATGTGGATTTAATGCTGTATACAGATGGTTAAATGAGGTGGGGTTTTGGCTAACTGTACTGCTGCTTGTGACTGACGATGAAGGTGTCTTTTTTGTGTATTCCCTCCAAGTAATCACCTTCAGGAGCTAAAGAGAAGATGGTGAGCCTTCAAAGAGAGCACACACGTGTCACTGCATTTAGGAACTCTCAAAGGCCATCCGTTGTTACAGGAGACAAAATAAGAAGTGATATGCTGTCTGCCCTTTGCCACAAAATTGAAGATTCTGAGCTTTTTATGAAAACTGCTTTTCATGATTGCTAAGATGACTTACTAATGCTAAAAAAAGTTAAACAATGCTTCTTTAAATCCATGGATGGCTTCAGATGATGACTGGAAAACAGACTGTTAGTGGTTTCATTGCAAAGGGTTCTGTCACAACTACCAAGCTAGCATGTGTGTTGTGGTATAAAGAGCCTTTTCCTGTATGCCTCAAATGGAGATACCAGCAGAACCAGAGAAATTCACCTGATGCACCTACAGCAAACTTTTCCTAACATTGAGAAGCTTTGCCATTAGTTTGTTTCTCCATTTATCCACTACTATAACTTCTGTACTAGTCACTTGAACTTTTCCTTTTCCCCCAGAAATGCAATTTTCTTTTCCGCCCAGAAATAGAATTTCAGACCCTGAAAATAGATTAATAGCCCTCTACCTTACCTCCTATGTTGTTTTTGTTTTGTTTGATTGGTTTTGTTTTGGGGGGGATTTGGTTTGGGGTTGTTTTTGTAGGATCCCCTCACCTGGTGGTATTGAAATAACTGAGAGGTGGGGGCGCAGAAATGTGGTTCATAGTGGGAGGGCAGAAGCATCTGAAGTTGGCACTGCCTTTGAGCAGGTTGCCTGGACTACTGTTTCCCAGCACTGTGTTGTTGGTACAGCAGTAAGCAGACCTGCTGGTGTCCACCTGTAGAAAACCTGTTCTTCTGGTTGTGTTGATCCACCTCAGTAACAGTGCCTTATTGTGCATGATGGGATATGGCAAGGGCTGTTGCTTTTCTCATTGCAGAACCTTCCTGGCTAGCCACACGCTAATGGAAATAATGCATACATTAAGTATAAGATCCTCATACTGCATTTCAAAGTAATTCAGTCCAGAGGCTACACAAATTCTCTCGTATTTGATGGGTTTTGCTAGTGCTTTTGCTACAACATAAGACATGTCATAGGATATTTTTTCTCCTCTTCCCCTACCTCCTTAATTTACAGATACTGGAACTGACTGATTCAAAGGGTTTCAATTCACAGACCAGGAAGCGTACTCGCAGCCAGCCATCTATATGGTTTCCATTTTGTAAACCACCCTAACTCTTGGTCTTTTTTATGGACTAAAAGAAAACTGCACCTTTGATATATTCCACAGAGGCTGCTTCTGCAACAGTATCGGTGATGTTAAAGGAATAAGTTATAAAAGAATTAAACCTAAATTCATTAAACTCAAGTCTACAGATTAATTCTGCAGCATGAGTGGAGAGGACAAATGCTTTTCATCTGAAATCAAAAGATTCATATTATTAGGCTTACAGTAGCTAGCATTTCCATCTAAAACTTCTTACCTTGCTAATCAGGAACATAGCAAGTCCAGAGTCTCCATTTCATTACTTTTACAGAAGGAAGCACATGTATGTCTTTCTTCCAACTTAATATTTTTAGGACTGTATAAACTTGAACTGCATTTTCCTAACAGCTGGAGAACAAAAAAACAGTCATTATGCAGGAAGCCCAAGACTTTATTAGAGGTTGCTCCACCCTGATTTTAATACCGTAGTCTACAGTTCTGTAGGTTCTGCAAGTTCTGTAGGTATGGATTTATAGAGCAAAACCATTGGAAATTCAGATGCATCCTTGCTGTACAGCCTGGGAGTTGCTGTAGGCAAGACCAAGAAACACTTGGGTCTTCAAAAGCTTGCGTTAGAAGTTAAAGCAAATCTTACAGTTTACTTTTGCAAAGCAGAGTCCAGCTCGTACATTATAAGTATATGAGATACACTATGGAACACTGAACTAGATTTAAAATTTTTATCTAGATGCTGTCTGCACCAGGAGGTGTGGTCTGCATTCAGATTCCCTAAAGCTTCATTTAAAATATATTTGTTAGAGCTAACACTGTAAAGAAACAGAGAGTAGTATAGACAATCATAAATCCCTGTAGATGCTGGGAACCTCAAGTTGTGCAGCACTGAATGGATTTCCAATCCACATGCAACAACAGACCTAATCTGTAGACAAGGCTACCTCCTTTTGATAATACAAGCTATTGTAGGATTTTTCTTTCAAGACAACTCTATTCATCATTCCTACTGTCAAAGAAAGAGAATGTTTGCTGTTAGGTACAGGCAATGCCATGCAGATGGTATAATTACTGGTACCCAGTGAGAGCTGCTGTGGGAATTCTCTCTTTTGGTGAGCTTACTGGGTTTGTGCTGTGATCAGGGAATTTGTGCAGCACAGCACAGGCCTGTAAGCCAGGCTGTATGTGCAGCACAGGCCAGGGATCGCTCAGGTTAACTCTTACATGGGTCACTAATGCTTTGATGTACAATAGTCTTTTGGTCTGGACTTCCAGAATGCATTCAGAACTGGACCTGGTCAAAGATTATCCTGTCTTCTCTGTCTTACAAACTGTCTCATAAACAAGGTCATCATTTTCATGGAGTTTTGAGGTTTTGTTTGTTTGGTTGGTTGTTCTGTTTTTCTTTTGGGGGGGGGGTGTTGGTTTTTTTTGTTTGTTTGTTTTGTTTTTTTTTTTTGTGTTGTAATCACAGAGCTAGAATTAGCTTGAGTATCTTCTTTTTGATATCTGATGTATAGGGAAAAGCTTTGCTGTTCAAAGATCTTGGGCATACTGTTTTTTCTGTAGAGCATACAGAGTAATGAAATTATAACGATCGGTATGTAACAATAAAGCTGAGTCATAAAACCTTCACTGTTACAGATGACACTGATGCTGTTGATCTGCTCATTTGTTTTGTTTTCCTTGCAGAATCAAGGCTATTGAAAGTCCCAACAAAGATGATGACACACAGTGGCTGACTTACTGGGTTGTATATGGTGTTTTCAGCATAGTGGAATTCTTTTCTGATATCTTTCTGTTCTGGTTCCCTTTCTACTACATGATAAAGGTATGTTAGCTCATGTGACCCCTCTTCTAAAATGAGACCTTTGACATAACTAATTTAATGTCTTCAAGAGTGGATAGATGACAGGAGACTCCCTTGGAATCATTCCTGGGTAAGACCATATTTTAAGATGCTGGTTACGTGTAGTTTATCACTAAGAAAGTGATCTGTTTACAACTGAGGGTTTTGTGAGGCTAGAGGGAAAGTTGGGATGGGTGGCAGGGAAAGGTCTGCAATGTTTAAAAGGAAAGAAAGGGTGGTATGTGACCTAGAAAATTTATATAAACATCTGTTTTGGTGCACTTCAAAAGTAGTAAGTGAGAATAAATCTATAAGTGTAAAAGTTTTTTTTTCTTGACTAACCTGTATAATCAAAATGACTGACTTTGTTCTTAGGCCAGTAAAGGAAAATTTCAATTTTCTCAGTTTCAGAGGAAGTTGGGTTTATGGCTGAGGGATTTCCCAAAACAAAGGAGAACTAAGTAATATCTTTTATATATTGGGACGACTTGAATAACTATCAGTAATTGGCCAGGTATTCTTTAACAGGAAATAAAATATGTTTCTCAGTTATTAATGAAAGATACCAGCATCAGATAGTCCCGTTTATTTGTTCCATAATACTAAGTTCAGATAATGGAAGGCTTTGAAAATTGATATCCCATCACTTTTTGCCTTTATTTTCTCAGACCTTCCTTAATAATACTGCATCAGTTGCTACTTAGAAGTGCCAGATTTTACTGCATGCTGAATGATCTCTCTTAGTTCATTGAAATGTTCCTGGTAGGCATTCTCACTGGTGGACGCTTTGAAAAACATTTCTTTGTCCTCTTTGAGTCTTTCAGTTCTGACACTATGATCAGATAGTTGAAGAATCCTAAAGCTTGCCTAAAACGATAGTAAATGGGCGTAGCAAAATCTTTTGTAGAAGGTGGTTGTTAAGCCTGGGAATCAGCGATCCTTTTCAGAGTGACAGCTGGTCAGGATATATCTCCAGTTGCAGATATACCATAACTGATTTTCTCTAGGCCAAGAGAAATGATAAATGGCCTTAAAAAGGAGTAGCAATCTCCTCAAAAAACAGTAGGTGTTTTCTTCAACTAATGCATATCAAAGGGAACAGTTTTACTGTGGTGTGCACTGCAGTGAAGACAAAGCCAAAATTTTACAGGTATCATACCTACAGAACATTCAATATCACTTATCTGAGGAAGAACAGAACAGAGATATTCCAAAATATCTGGAAGGTTTGCCTGAAGGAGACTGCAGTTTTCATAACTGAAAAGGGATTTTATTCTGTCTTACTTTCCCCCTTCCTTTTTGTTAAACTCAAGTCAGAACCTTTCTTTTAAAATAACCTCTCTTGACTTAAATCACCTTGTAATGGTTCAATAGTCATTTAGGAGTTTCTTGTGTAATATCAAAACAAATATTTGGATGTGGTTTTATCTTTGCATTTTTACAGTGGGCAATTAAAAGTATGAGGGGAAGAAAACAAATGTCTGATAGGCACAGTGAAAATCTGAAAGCATACTGTAATGGAACTGGTTTCTAGGAAATGCTTCTGCACTATGCAGTGTACTGGAAACCTCATAAATAAATAAGACTCTGCTTATATATTTTTTTTTTTACTTTCAGAAAGTCTAGCACTTGCATTGAAACATCTCTTTAGCTGCTGTAGATATACTTTGAAAGCTGGAAAACTCCTGAAATACAAGATTTAAATAAGTGCTACTGTATTTAAATTAAGACTTTCAAGTTGATTATAGTTTTATTGTAGTTTAAATTATTAGTTTGGGTTTTGGTACCTAAATTAGCTAATTGTGTGGTGGTTCTAGTTTTTCTTGTCTTTGCAGCGGGCTTTTTTGTTTTGTATTTCAGGAGGAGGATTTGAGTTGTTGTTTTCTCCCTCTCTCCCTCTTCTCCCAGAAATGTATGGAAATTCTCAAACATTTAATCATGTCTAACATCAAAACAAAGCACATTTTGGCTGAGGCTGGGATAGTTTTCTGTTTTGAGAAAAGGTGGTCTGTGAAACGCTGTTCTGCCTTTTCTGGAGAGGCTTTTGACATGAAATAATATTGTCCTATTTGTGTCTGGAAAGAACTGTGCAATTGCTGAGAAAAATTGGTTAATTTTTTTGTAGCTTTATCTTGTAAAGGGTCTCTGTATATGCTTTCAGAGCTTGAGCATGGTTAGTTATGGCACTTCCTGTCCTTTAAATGTTTTGATCATCTTTTCATAATCATCTTTGTACTGTGTATGATACTAGAACTGAAATGAAATAGAAGTGCTTCAGTAGTAAAGACAGATATTTGTAATACATGTAATAGCTGTCTTTCCAATCCCCTTTGTAAGATGCAGAAATACTACTCCACAGACTGTGCTATTCATTGCCACTACCTCCTTCCCCTCTCCCCCCCCCCCATAAGATGGTGCTATAAAACGTATACCTAAACTGTGCAATCTAAAAGCATTACCCTTGTCTATGTGCCTTCTGTAGTATGGATGTATCTTTCTCCATTGTCAGTTTAGCTCTGGGATGCACACAATCGCATTCTTTCCTGCTGCATTTTCAAAGCAGGGAGGCAGAGAGGAGAATGATACTGTTCTGGCTGGACTTTAGTGATTTCCGGACCTAGACCCTTCAGTCAGGTATGTGCCGCATAGTTTAGAAGTAGTTAGAGGGACTGATGTTTTGTCTAATCAGGTTTTCATAGAATCGTAGAATAGTTAGGGTTGGCAAGGACCTTCTCTTTTATAGTGCATTTGTGGGGTTTTTTGTTAAGCGTAGAAGCACAAAAGATTTAGAGATCAGTTTGATAGATGGGGCACTCAGTGGATAAAGAACTGACTGATCGGCTGCTCAACAGCTCAATGTCCACCTGGAGACCAGTAACAAGTGGTGTCCCTCAGGGATCCGTGTTGGGACCAGTCTTCCTCAACATCTTTTATCAGTGACATGGACAGTGGGATTGAGTGCGCCCTCAGCAAGCTTGCCAATGACACCAAGCTGTGTGGTTGGGTTGATACGCTGGAGGGAAGAAATGCCATCCAGAGGGACCTTGACACTCTTGTGAGGTGGCTGATGCCAACCTTATGAAGTTTAACGATGCCAAGTGCAAGGTCCTACACTTGGGCAGGAGCAATCCCAGGCACAGCTACAGGTTGGGCAGAGAAGAGATTCAGAGCAGCCCTGCGGAGAAGGAGTTGGGGGTGTTGGTCGATGAGAAAATGAACATGAGCCAGCTTCAGTGTGTGCTTGCAGCCCAGAAAGCCAACCGTATCCTGGGCTGCATCAAAAGGAGTGTGACCAGCAGGTCGAAGGAGGTGATCCTGCCCCTCTACTCTGCTCTTGTGAGACCTCACCTGGAGTATTGTGTGCAGTTCTGGTGACCTCAACATAAAAAGGACATGGAACTGTTGGAACAAGTCCAGAGAAGGGCCACGAGAATGATCAGGGGACTGGAGCACCTCCCGTATGAAGACAGGCTGAGAAAGCTGGGGCTGTTCAGTCTGGAGAAGGCGGTGTGGAGACCTCATAGCAGCCTTCTAGGATCTGAAGGGGGCCTATAGGGATGCTGGGGAGAGACCCTTCGTTAGGGACTGTAGTGGTAGGACAAGGGGTAGTGGGTTCAAACTTAAACAGGGGGAAGTTTAGATTGGATATAAGGATGAAGTTCTTCACTGTGAGGGTGGTGAGGAACTGGAATGGGCTGCCCAAGGAAGCTGTAAATGCTCCATCCCTGGAGGTGTTCAGGTCCAGGTTGGACAGAGCCTTGGGTGACATGGTTTAGTTTGAGGTGTCCCTACCCATAATAGGGGGTTGGAACTGGATGACCTTAAGGTCTTTTCCAACTCTGTTTTATGATTCTATGACTGATACACGTGTTACCAGATTTGCTTTGCTGCTACAGCCCTCCTTTATCCTGTTAGTACCCATTAAATTATTCCGATATAAAGATTCGCTGAACGTAACTATACCGATGTGCATACTTACTGTACTGCAACTATAAAAAATTAAGGGGATGGTGTACTGTTGTAAATATGCTCAAGTCTGTGGCAGTTAGGAAGGCATACTATGCCTTGTCTCCTACTCATTTCTTCTACTTAGGCAGATGTTATTCCTTTTAGTGTGGCTTCCTGTTGTGGTGCATGGCTCCAAGTGCTTCCAACGGGGCAGAGTTTCTCTATCATCGAATTATCCGGCCTTTCTTCCTGAAGCATGAAGCTCAGCTTGACAGTGTTGTTAAAGACCTGAAAGACAAGGCTGCAGAGACTGCAGATACCATCGCTAAGGAAGGTGAGGAAGAGATCATTCACTAATCACATCAAACAGGAGGAATTTCCCAGGGCAACTCTAATTAGAGTTAGGGGGAAAAATGTAAGAAGATGATAAAAATTATAATGGAGAAGTTAAATTTGGATGATGATGCTAGGAAAGGAGGATTGTGGTGGATATTTATAGGAGTTTATATGCTAGAATGAACGCAAGATCTGTGATTGGAGAACATGGCTAATTAGTGTGTTCCCACCGTACATACCACTATTAACATTCTCTACAGAGGTAGGACCAAACATCCTTAGAAGATACCTTCCACAGATACAGTTACTGCTTGAGTTAATTGTCGCCTCATTAAGTTACTGTCTTCTATACTACCAGGTATTTGGAAGACCTTTGGAAGTATAGAAGAGCTGCCAATTGTGTAGTAAAGCAAATCCTTTAACTCCAATAAACAGCAACATGGGAAATGAAGTTTTCCCATCTGTAAGTTTTTGTACTTCTTCTTCCTCTGGAGATCAAAGGATTCTGAGCCCACTCTTAAAGAAATTACTTAGGATTTTATTTGGTAAGAGTAAGTAAGCCTGTAGGTTGCTTAATCTTTGCTTTTATTTACTTGCATTCTATAGTGGACCCTCATACTCAAAAATGTCTGATGATAGTTGTATGACTAACAGAGGGAAGTATATTAAGTAGCTAAAACAAAGGCTTATTTAAATTTAATTTGAAAGGAAATTTGTAAGGTATTTCAAAGCACTTTTAAGTCTCTGTTCTCCCAAATGATGCATGCAGTCTCATTTCCTCTTACCAACTTAAGCAGTTTTCCTGTCAGTGCTTAAGTGATCTTCCTTCTTCAACTATGCTTGGAAATTTTGCTGCGTGACCTTCCTCAATCGCTGTTAAACATGTATCTTAAGTAACAATCTTCCATGTTGTACATGGGATTTTTCTGTCCTCATTCCATCACTTATTCTTTTTTCTACTTTTTGCATATAAGGATTTGCACATACATATATTTTTTAAGACATGCACATAGGTATACATGTACACACACACACAGAGATTAGCGTTATTCCAGCCCTATTTCATCATCTTGGTAGTACAGTTCTTGCTGTAAACCTGTATGTCCTAAACCTTATGAGAAGCACTGTGTGACTGACATCTGTTACATCAACAAGTCTGTGCTGTTCACTGCTCTATCCTTGCTTATGGTTTATTTTTTTAAATCTTTACATAATCACTGTATGTGTATACAAAAGCTTTGATTGTGATGTTTCATTTGTGACTTAAAAGGGTATCTTTTGGGGGTTTTTTTTGTTTTTTTTTAATGTAGCTCCAGAACACTGAATAAACCACTTAGTCTAGTGGCTTCTAAGATTAAACTTGCTTTTATTTTCCTGCAGCCAAGAAAGCAACAGTGAACTTACTGGGTGAAGAAAAGAAGAGCACCTAAGCTATGAACTGGATAAAGCTTCCCTACCACCTCCTTTATGAAGCTTGATGTTACTGGAAACTGTGGTATACATCTTAATAATATTGCCTTGGAAACTTTTGATATATTAAAGGAGTATGTCCTAAGTTTGCTTACCACTTTTCTGTGTCTGACAGAAAGTGTTTTTATTTAAAAGCAATGCAGCAGGCAGCATCTGAAGCTTAATGAACATACTTATCTTCATGCAGAAGAAATCTTTCAGTAATCTCTCTGCTTTAACATAAATAAAAAGTATATATCCCACAGGCTCTGCACTTTAGTTGTCTCTGTGTGTGTAATTACTCATCATGCTTCAACTGTCGTGCATCTGGTAACATGAAGCTAGTGTATAAGAAAAATACTGGTCTGAATGGGTCTTCTTGAACATACAGGGAATTACTATGAGAGATGGCATAATGGATGTATTCCATTCCACCAAAGTTGTAAATGATGAAATTACATGTTCTAGGCACCTGATGATAGAAATTACTCACTATTGCATGTTTTGTTGTAACACAGTATTTGGTAAAGTGTGTGTATTCCTAAATGGATAGATACTAAATACAGGGAAGAATAACTTCATTCAAGTGATCAAGGTTATATTAGTGTGAAATAATTTGCCAGAAAAAGATGTATTAGATTGCACAGGATTAGCACAAGATGACTAAAGTACACCTCCTTGCCTCTTCTTGATAAATAAAGTTGTCATCTAATAGAGTGCCTTTCAGAATCACTTTCAAAATCAAAACTACGTTTTACTAAGGAGCAGTACTATTCCAAACACTTTTTCCTAAAGTTTTGTTGAAATACTAACTGCCTTGAGTGCCAGTCTGCAGAACCACATCATTAATGGGATGGACTGTGGCCTCCAGGAGCCTCTTCTGCTCATAAAAATCTGCAGTCTCTTCTGACTGTACTAAGAGTAACTTTTCATGACCACTGAAACTTCCTGAAGAAGATGCTTTGTTGCTGCTTGATACATATACCTGACCAATCAGTAAGAATGCCACCAAGGTTATTAAGAGAATAAAGGGCTTTTTGCAATCAATAGAAAATATTTTTTTTTTGATACAAACGTGTATTCAATCTTCCACACTGCAGACTTTTCAACAGATTCAGCATGAATTACTGAAATCTCACAGTTCTCATCTCCATGCTGAGATTTCTTTAAAGCCTACAGGAACACTATGACACTTCTTAACTCACAGAACACAGAGAAGGCAAGTTTAAGGTTTTGATATGCAAAAAAGTGATTTCTGGTCCAGAGTCTTATATTCAAAAGATTTAAAGTATACTTTTGAAGACTTGGCTTTCTGCAATAAATTGGTATATAAACATTCACTGTAAATTTTCAGACATGAGAACTGCAAAAGAATGCACCAGTTAGTGGAACTCTGCAGGCAGTTTCAAATTTGATAGTTGTATTGAAGATTTGTAGAAGTGTCTTACGAAGAAACATTTCAAGCTTTACGCTGGAAAACACAGCGCTTAGGGCTGCAACCTTGGATAGTGAACTGAGACCCACTGTGCATCATTTTTTGTAGGACAGCATAAGCTTTGTTGTTCGAAGGAAAAAAAAATCACAGCTAATAATTCTGTGACTTTTTATTATGACTGGATGTGGTGAAGGGAATAAAAGTTTACAGCAAAGTTGTACATCTGTGAAAATCCACCATAGAAGTGGATTAATCTCGTCTTGCTTTTCTCTGTCTTAAATCCACTGCACTGTTCTGTAAGCCATACTTAAGTCCTAATGCTGTATTTTAAACCCTATAAGGTGTGTATTTAGAGGTCATGTGGCCAGTGTAATTTAGCTTCAACTCTTGAAAACATAAGTAATAAATAAAAATGCTTAATAGTCTTACCTGATTTAAGTATGGAATACTATGTAACATGCTTCTTTAAAAGCTGCTGATAAATGTTGGACAAGCCTAAAGGGGTCTGTAGCAAAAGCAGAACTCACTTGTAATTTCTAATACTACTAAACATTTCACGTATTAATGGGGATAAATATTTCTAGGTAAGTGTTAAAATATTTTCTTACATCTCTTCTTAGAACTTAAAAGTTAGGCTTAAAATCACATTCTTGTCTCTACAACTTTGTATTTCTTGACCTAAGCAGCTAACTCCAGTATTTCTTTGTCAGATTTCTACTTCTAGTAGAACACTGTTAACAAAACGTGATCTTGTTTGCCTTGATGCAAGTAGAAATTACCGAGTTTCTGAAGCAGAAAAGTTACTCTTTCCTGCAAGAAACTCCACTGGGCTGGCCCCATTGATCTGTGTTCTTCTCACTGTCATCATACCAATATTTATGTGCAGATGTTGGTATGCACATACGCTCCCATGTGTCTGCTGAAGTTGTAATATGCTAAATAAAAATGGATACAAATAAAAAAGAGATTCTTATGTGAGTGGTATAATGCCTCAGTAATAAGATCTTAAGAATCTTACACTTCAACAATGACAGCCTAATTCTACAGGATGCTTGCTTCCCTTTCCCTCCCCTCCCCCCGGCCTTCATTACTGTGGCGCTCTCTCAAAGCCTGAAGGAAGCATTTCTGCTTCAGGACTAGATCCTGGGGAGCAACTAAGCTGTTTTACAGCTTCAGGCCTTAACCAAAGAGTTTGGAATGCAGATCTGTTCCAACAGGAAGCACCATGAGCAGCTGCAAGCTGCAGGCTTTAAGGCGTCATTAAGATTTAGTGTTTAGAAACAGAGAGAGGAAAAATGGTAAACTATGGGGATTTCAAAGTTTTTCTCTGGCCTGTTGATTTTTTAGTGTTCCATAAATGACCTAAACAAATACGGCTGTTGTTAATGGCAGGAAGGGGAGTTAGTTACAGTTCTTTCTGCTGCCACTATAAGCAGGACATTTCTGCTTTATCCTACGTATGTCCAAACTCAGCAAAAAGGAAAGTTCAGAAAAACATTTAAAAAAACCCACAATGATAACATCACCACTAGTGCCACAAGTGAAACTGAATTCTTAAAACCGAAGCAAGACAGTTAACAACAGAAATTATTTAAAGTAGTGGAAGATGGGATTAAAATTTTTCATGTCAAACTCCCAAAACTTTTTTTCATCTGATGAATTTAAGAAGGTGTCTGAGTTTGCATTCCAGTCTTGTCAACTCCATTTAACTAGTCTGAGAACCAACACAAAAATACTCAACTAATTTCTTACCTTCCACCCCCATTTCAGACTCAAATCAACAATAACTTCTTACGCAAACGAGGAAGAAGAGAGTTTTAAAGAAATGGAATGACAAATTCTTGTAAGTCATGGTAGACTGTTAGTATTTCCTATAAACTACATATCTGGCAACCATGCAAATAAACTGAATGTCAGTCTTGTCTTTCCAGAAAACTGCTACATCCAGTGTGATGGAATGAAAAGTGCTTGAGGAAAAACAACCACTAAGGAAGACCTTTGAAAAAGTTCCTTAGATGAGTAGTTCCTTAGATGACTATATGAACTGGTCAGGTAAAATATAATTGAAGATGCAGTTCTTTGAACTTAGCATCTTTTGGAAGGCCATGTAGCTACCACCTTTGCCAAGGCTATGGAATTCCACGCCACTTTATATGCCTACCATTCTGTATTGCTTTATCCTTGCAGGAGGAATACATCTTAAAGCCTTTAATTAGGTATATCTAAACTCACAGAATCACAGAATGGTTTGTGTTGGAAAGGACCTTAAAAAGGTCATCCAGTTCCAACCCCCTGCCAGGGGTAGGGATACCTTCCACTAGACCAGGTTGCCCAAGGCCTGTCCAACCTGACCTTGAACACTGCCAGGGCTGGAGCATTTACCACTACTTTGGGCAACCTGTTCCAGTGCCTCACCACCCTCACAGTTAAGTTCTTCCTTATAACTAACCTGAACTTCCCCTGTTTAAGTTTGAACCCATTACCCCTTGTCCTATTGCTACAGTCCCTGATGAAGAGTCCCTCTGGCAGAGAGATACTGGAAGACTGCTATGAAGTTTCCACACAGCTTCTCCAGGCTGAACAGCCCCAACTTTCTCAGCCTGTCTTTGTATGGGAGATGCTCCAGTCCCCTGATCATCCTCTTTTGCTATCTGGGAAAAAGACAACATAAAAAACACAGATCTTCATACAGAGGAAAAAGGCACACATAATGTTTCATAAGAAACAAACAGCACTACAGCGCAGGCAACTTGTTCCTATCTGGAGTGTTCCCTGCTCTTTCCCAGGTCCTTTTCTACCAATGATGGTCACCTTTCTCCCACCTCCCTTACACCAGGTGTTATAGTCAATCCTCCCATCTTTAGCTCTTACCAGATCTAATCTGTACCTTATCTCCAGTTGCATGTGTGCTGACTGATCACCCAACATATTAAATATGGCTTGGTCAGAGCAAACTGCCAACCAGGAAGGATGAATACTCATTTTCCTCATCATTTTTTTTTTTTTTTTGTCCCTACAATGATGCAACAGGCTTAAAAGTTCTAAAGCAATACATGAAGAGAGTATTTGCATTGTCCTTTTTCTTTAGGGGAAAAAATCCCCAAAATCACTCTCTGAAAAGCCTGGTTATTTTATCCTAAGAGGTGAATTAACCCCATACAGGGCAGTCTGTAACAGAAAGAAGCTAAATAACTGGTATTCAGTGACATGTGGGAATGGTTCAAAGCTGCATCAGGGGAGGTTCAGACGACATCAGTAAACACGTCTTTACCATGAGAGTAGTCAAGCACTAAAACAGGCTTCTTATCCTACAGAGGCAGTCAATGCCCCAAGCGTGTCAGTTGGACAATGCCCTTAACAACATGTTTTGACTTTTGGTCAGCCCTGAAGCAGTCAGGCAGTTGGACTAGGTGATCATTGTAAATCCCTTCCAAATGAAATAGTCCACTCTTCCAACACAGCCACCTCTGCAGCTAGAAACAGCAGGAAACAAGGGAGCCACACCATCTTTTATGCTCTGAAGTATACGAACACCAGATGTATATGATGCTCCAAAAGGGAGTTTTGGCTAGAAGGCTGTAACTTGTAAGCACACACAAGGAACAACATGCACACCAGGCAAGCTTTTTAAGAACAGCCATTTTCTGCAGAGCTGGTCTGTGAGAAATTTACTTTACAGCTGAATGTGGAGAACTACACACGTCCATACATTATTGTCCTTTCCCATGTTAAAACACGTTTCAATATAACATTTGAAATCATAATGATTGTTGTGCTTCTGCTACAGCAGCTATATGCCCTGACACATCTGACAACAGTTTTGAAACTTCATTTTTACTAATTCCTTTGTTAATTGCCTGTACCTTCAGATCTGCTTAATGAGCAATGTCCCCATACGATTCTGACACAGAAACTGACGAGGATTGTTACAAGGATTCTTAGCTCACACGTCCATTTCAAATGTGAAATCTTTGCCTAGGTATCCACAAAACGGTACAGGAAAACAAGTATATACTTTTAAACAGCTAGTCAATTCTGTAGGGACACTAGATCAATATCCGCATTACTCTTGTCTTTGATACAGCGTAACCCCACTCAGGGATACACGTCTTTGTTAATATTGCCACCTACAGACCAGTGCTCCTTTAGTAACTAGGAAAGTTACTAAACTGCTTAAGCAGATTCTCAGAGAACTGTAAAAGCAAGGCAGGTGACATAAAAAGATGTCCATTATCACCCTGTTTTCCCTCAAAACGATTTTTTTATTCATAGCATTGAGACTGACAGTTGCAGTATTTCTGTATTTTTACAGCTGCCTCATCTCCACTCAGCGAGTCCTGCAATGTTCTCTATCTTTGCTGTTCCCAGGAAGTGAAGCGAAGAAAGGGAGATGGGGAGGGTGCTGAGGAAGGGGGAATACCATCATAAGAACTTTACTGTCTTGACCTGCCTTTTTAAAGAAAAAAGGAACTCAGTTTATTAAAAAAAACAGGAACTACAGAAAAATAAGCTTAACCTTGGCAGGAAAATGGGAGTTGCGTTTAGAATCATAGAATGGTTAGGGGTTGGAAAGGATCTTAAGATCACCAAGTTCCAACCCCCCTGCCATGGGCAGGGACACCTCACTCTAAACCATATCACCCAAGGCCTCATCCAACCTGGCCTTGAGCACTGCCAGGGATGGAGCATTCACAACCTCCCTGGGCAATTTAACTCTGTGATGCCTCATTTAAGAGCAAATACTGCTCACATACTGTACTTACACTAAAACTAGACAGAACTCATTCAGAGATGGGGGATTAAGCAGGCAGGCATTGCAGGAATCAGATTTCAGCCCTCTAAGGGCAGTAATCTTCTGATTGCCCAGCACTGCACAATTTGCTTTAAAAAAAAATAAATCGGCTTTAACCAAAATACCTGAAGAGCTCTGATTATTTGATTAAATCACAGTTTCATAAATTTGAGCTCAGTATTACTCTTTCCAGAGATCCTTCTCAGTCTTTTTTTTGTAATATCCTTACACTCTAAAACAGCTTTACTATTTTGAGTTCCTTGGGAAATTTTGGTAAGCAATGCCACCAAGATTCTTTCTCAACATTCATAACATAGCACAGACAAGTTTGCAAGGTATTTGATTTCTGAACAGTGTAAACAGGTATCCTGTGGGATTTAACCTCCACATTTTTCATCTGTCCATAGTCTCAAGCTTTGATTTAGAGTACTTAATCACTTGATTTAGAGTACTTCATTTAGAGTACTGATTCAGATGGCACAACATGACCAGGACTTGGCTAGAGACATTCCCCACCACTTAACTGAGTAACCTCATACCAATTAACTTTCACAGAGCTCTCACTCTATAAAGTTTCAGGAAAGTTACTCAGCACTCTGTTTTCTGCTAACACCCCCCTCCCCCCCTCTTCAGATAGCATCTGTTCCTGCTGTTCCTACCCTATGGCATTCTATCAACTCACAGAAATACCACTTAACTAACTTCTCAAAGTTTAGGTGCATTTTCAAGCTCAGATAGTCCAAACATAGAATGCATGAACTGTTGCATCGCCAGACAAAAACCTGCAGACATTTATATGCAACCATGGTCGATTACAGCCTTAGAAAACATGACTTCTTCTCCCAAGACATTCCATTTTAGAAACCCTACATACTGCTACTATCTCACTAGTACAGGGCTTGGACTCAGGAACTTGCCATGGCAACTTCCGGACTTAGTAGAGGACGGCAGTCCCCCTTGAGTGAACAATGCAATGCAAGAACCAGACTCACAGAGCATTACATGCAGGAAATAAAACTGACTTTGAACTAGTCACAAATCAGGGGCTCTATGCAGTTGCACTATGGGTACCTACTTGCATCAGCTTCAAGGGGCACTGGTAACTCACCATCCATTTGAAAAAGCTGCAGTTGAGTGCAACAAGAAATGTACAAACATAAGAAAACTCAAAGTACAAAGACAAGTAACTTGGGATATCATCAAGGACTTTACGAAGTTTCATTACTTTAGAATCATCATTAAATATCTGAATGCATTTTGAATGTTGTTCCTCTTTAAAGTGGGAAAAAGGTGATGCCATGGTATAGCATACCCGATAGACAAGCGAGAGAAGTCTTGAAAGAGAATGTTGGCACATGAAAAATCCATCAAAAATAATCTGTAACATGCTTCCAATAGTAATCTGTGAAACATTCAAGTGACTTTTGTTTTCATACAGTAAGTGTTAGAAAACTCATGCAGAGCTTTTTGTTTTAAACTCAAAACAGGTACTGCTGCTTCTTTTTCAGTCTCCTTATATTGAACTCTCTTTCATTTAACTTGCACAGTACATTTCTTAATTAGTCTGAAGGAGCCCTGCTACTCGATAGCTGTTGCGACTAACTCACCTTCTTCAAGCAACTTTATGTCCCTGTGTGGGACACAAAAATAAATAAATAAATAAAATTTTAAGTTACCAAATACTGTAAGCCTCAGATATCTGAAATAGAATGGAAAAGTAAAGCTGCATTTCCTAAGCCCTCAAACAACCCCAAATGGGATAATATAGTGTCCCATATTATATAAGACACAAAGGGAGGTCTCCCTACTGCCCTCCACAATTATCTTAAAACTTTACAATATTATCCTTACAATATATATCTCTGACTTCTTTACAAAAGGCTGTGCAGTAAAAAGTAACACTTTTGGAAGAAGTATTCTATAACATTATTTTTTTTTGTAAATTAACATGTCACCTTTATTAGTACACTTGACAGCTGTGAAAGAGGGACTGTTTTAAATTGATAAATTTTAGATTGGATATTTGGAGAAATTTCTTTGCCAAAAGGGTTGTCAAGCACTGGAACAAGCTGCCCAGGGAAGTGGTGGAGTCACCATTCCTGCAGGTATTTATTTGTAAATGTGGCACTTTGGGACACGGTTTAGTTGTGAACTTGGCTGTTCTGGGTTAACAGTTGGACTCAATGATCTTAAGGGTCTTTTTCCAATCTAAATGATTCTATGATTCTATAATTATTATCAGGGGAAGTTTGTAGAGGCATAACATCATTGATTTACATTTTTCTCTTAGTGATAAAGACTTCCCATAGTTAAGAAAATTACTTCACTAGCATAGATAAATTGTTTACTAAGGCAACCAGCTTTCAGGTACGTAGTCTGCATAAGAGTACTTATTCATTTATTTATCAAAAGGTGCACATTTCCTCTGTAAAGAATAATTCTCCCTCCCACCCCATTTCTTTATGTTCTTCCACTTTTAAGCAGGTGCTAGCTTCAGACATGCAGGTTGTGTGTCAAGACAGGTTTATTTTTACATAGATGAGAGGCAGCTACATGCACTCCAGTTCCCAGAAAAGTTCTGTTCAGCTTCACCTGTGTATTTCTTGCTTTCATCGATCACTTGGAAGTTGCAGCAAGTAATGTGTCCATCCAGCTTTGTGGTAAATACAACTATGTGATGTAGCAATGACTCCAAATATGCGCTCATTTCTTCTTCTTCCCTTTACCTTTCTTGCCTCCCTCTCCTTGCTGAAGACTTTGATCACTACCTCCCATCTTTTGGGTTCTTGATTTCAGTTTGGGAATAGTTTCTGCAGCGTACAGCATCACTGACTTACCTAAAAATATAGGGAGAGATCAATGCACGCCTACTACATTAAAAACATTTGCATGATTTTGGAAGTTAAGACAATTCAGCCCCTATACAGATTTCTGTTGAAGTAGATCTAAAGCCTAGGATTTGTGCTTCCTTCCCCCTGTGCAGCTACGAGTTTGCAGAAAATTCTCAAACTCCCCCCCCCCTTTTTTTTTTTATTTTAAAGAAGTACAGGACTGATCAATGTCATAGCAGACTAGAACAGGCAGACAACCTAACAAATGCCAAAGTATCTACATCCTTCCTGTTACTTTTTTTTCCCTTTGCCTCCTTAATGGGCCTAAAATACTTGGGACAGAATGACCAGGCAAAGCTACAAGCATTTTTTAGAAAGGCACTGCCTTCTTCCAGCCGGAATAGGGGTTTAAGTTGTCTCCTTCTAACCAACAGCACTTCAGTGCTATTCTAGACTCGATACTATTCTTGCTTTTCCTTAAGATACATACTTCTTCATATATATATATACATATATATATGTATATATATATATTTGCTTTTACACACCAGCTAGTTTTCAGGAAAAATGCAAAACATTACATTACTTGTCATTCAAGATGAACTATTCCTGTTAGTTAAAGGGAGCTGCTCCATTGTTAATTTATGAAAATGGCCAGCAGAAAACTCAGCTGAACTCAGTATTGTACTTCATCAATTTGGCATCCATACTGATGCCTAGCTGATGTCTGTAACCCAAGAGAAAGACTGAATTTAGCCATTTTAATACCAAATCCTTTAACTGTCAAGAAAGTGGTAAGCAGACACAGAAATCATACAACACTCCCCGCAATTCTCTTCAATGCAATTGCTTGAAGAAATACCAGGATCAAACACAGCAGCACTTTACAAATCCCACTCAATGCTCACACACCAGCTGCATCTGATTGACTTATATAAGCAAAAGGACTGATTTGGTTGACTTAGGCAGAGGCATTTAATGTAAAGTTGTAAAATGTGAAAGAATAAAAATAATTCAGCAAGTTGGTAACATAAAATAAACAAAGTTGATCTGTTTTATTAACACATAAAGTGCCTAATCCAGGTACTCTACTCACGTGTTGGAAACTGAGGTAAACATGGATTACCATCATCTTGTTTGAGCTGGATTCGTACTCTACCTCTGTACTGCACATCTCTGTTCCACTCTCTGGGATACATCTTATTTTTCTGTCATACAAAAGAAAACACTTATTATAAAAGTACTGTAATAATTGAGCTAAGTCATAGCAGTCTGGAATACTAACAGATGTAAAACATAACACTAGCTACCCAACAGTGTCACCAACTACTCAACCACTGCAGTAGCATCCAAAGCTACAGCACAGTGTTTTCAAAAGCACTTCTGCAACTAGTACTGGTACTGAACAATTTAGCAAGTAATCTGCTACAGGGACTGCTGCACCTCCTCACCAGTCTGGACTGCAGTGACACAGGTCTTCTTTTCCTCTCCACAGCCACAAACCCTTCCGGATACTTAAGAGACAGATGTCTGAGGCCCACTGCTTGGAGATACTCATAGGCTTTATTTTTGTAAAAATGTTACAGGTTTCTTATTGATACGAGCTATTTCATAGGCACGGTGCACTAATCTGAACATATTACACTTCTAAAAAGCAAACTGATTTTGGTTTTGGGTACCAGTCACTCTCTTAGATGAGGACCTGAACTTCCGGAAAAATTCAACAGTGTTTTAAATTAGTGATTACTTCAGAAAATTAATTGCAAAAGGTTACCCCTCTAGAAATCCAGACTCATTCCCTAATAAAAAAGCAACCAGCTTCATATATTTAAAGAACAAGCAGGTATTGCACTAAACAATGAACATTCTCTGCCTAAGAAGTAACTAGTCTTTTTTTTCTTTCCTGTATTACCTCTAACAGCACGTTGAATCCAACTGCTGCACATACATCCTGGATTTCTGTAGATGTGGGATTTTCAACAGCCTGTTGATACAATGTTTTACAGTTAAATATTTTTCCGTGATGAACTACTCACACAGCAATAGTTAGTAGCTTCCACCCTATCCTCTGTAACTACAAAAAGGAGATAAGTAAAGAGAAAGTACTTCACACACTGACAAATCTACTGTAGAAGCCACCTGTGAGTGGTTGTATGGTCCAAAAACAAAAACCACCACAAAACCCAAACCAAAAAAGAGACAAGACATCAGAAGAATGGGAAACAGATGAGGATTAATTAGCACAGGGGAAGTAAAAGAATTGCTGAGGAGAAGAAACTGAAATAACATTGATTTTATTTACAAAAAAAAAAAACCAAACACCAAAACAACCAAAAACCATGAATCAGCAACAGCAGACTTGCAGCAATGACTGAAGGGAGGAAAAACAGAAACTTTCTAGGCACAAAGCAGTGGATCCTCCCACAGACAGATCTTTAACTGGCAACTTGCATGCTCAAGAAAACTTTAACTATTATCAGAAAAAACACACAAACCTAAAAGAAAACCCCTCTATATTCTCACAAATATTTGTTAAAAACATCATTAAGGAGATTTTCAATAACTATTTCAGGACAGATTAAATGCAGTACCAACTACTACACTGTGCGTATGTGCCACATGCAGTGTAAGTTCTACCTCTGACACCAGCAGTGGGGAGAGGGCACAGACTATAGGCATGTATACTTAGTCACGAAAACACAGTCATTAGGTATCTCTTCTTATTTTGCTTTCAAATTTGACAAACTACTTATGTAGGAGGTCGAGTGCATTAAGTTTGTCAGTACTTTACCTGTTTGCCAAAGGTGCTGCTTGCATGAAATTGACACTTAAACCCAGCCTTCTTCTACCAAATTTACATGCTGACTAGGTTACCTTCAACTATGCTGTAACTTCCAGTTATCAAGCTACTTATCATGGGGAACAGGAAAGAGCAATAGCTTTGAGATTTACTTCCCAACTTTCTAACCACTGCTATACAGCAAGACAAAACATTGTCTTTCCTTGCCACCCACAAACTTACTTTGTCTATAGGTATCCTTCTTCCTTCTGCTATTGTCTTCTTGTTATTCAGATATGCTGGATAAATGCAGATGAATCTAAAAAGAGAAAGCAGAGTTTTAGGTAATATCAACTCTCAACTACTTAACTATTTATGCAATATTTAACGAGTAAAACAAAAAATAAACCTCACGACTATGATGCAGAAGTTCCCACAGTGGCTTAGAACAACCATTCATTTTCCCTAAACCAATCAGTAAGATGTTGTAAAACCCCACTTCCAGTTATCCAGGGCATTCCATGACCACCTGGCTGCAGTGTTCATTGCATGACAATACTTTGTGGAGCCTATCTATTTCAAGCAAAATAGATTTTTGAGTAAAAATATATTTGAGTAAAATATTTTTGTGCCATTTGCTTCGAGTAAAAAAAAAAAAACATGAAGGCTGAAAGGGAATTCTTTGACCCATTTCTTACAATTTACCTTTTTTTTTTATTTCCATCCCTACTATTCATACACAAAAGAACCCAAATTTGGGTAAGTTATAAAGCCTCTGAAAAACTTGCTTAAGGTATTTCAGTAGATTTAAAACTGTCAAGCACATACAGTGCACAAGAGACAGAATCTCAACTATACTTCTTATGAGACAATAAAAACAAAACTACCTGAGGCCTACAAGCAAAGGCTAAGAAAAAGGAATACCTACATTTGAATGAGGAACTATGACAGCATAAGCAGATAGGGAAGCAGAAATTGAGCAAATAGAGAAAACAATCTGGAGCATGCTAATATTCAGTTACTTGGAGACTGACAAATCCCATTAATCCCAACTCCCTCCCACAAAACATTTCTCCCTGCCTCTAAAATTAGCCTTAGTCATTGCAACTCATTACTCTTCTCATCCAGTTCTCTTTACAAGTCAATCAGTGCTTCCATGGAAGTGGCAGAGTTCTGCATGTGAAATCACAGAATTACAGTCTGGTCTGGGTTGGAAGGGACCTTACAGCTCATCCAGTTCCAACCCCCTGCCACAGGCAGGGACACCTCCCCCTAGAACAGGCTGCTCCAAGCAGCATGCAACCTAACCCTGAACACTGCCAAGGATGTGGCAGCCATGGATTCTCTGGGCAACTTGCGCCAGCGCCTCACTCTCTTCCACCTTAAACGCCCAAACTAGTTACTGACGCCCACAAACACAACTGCGGTCGCACCCCCCACCCACAGCTGGGCGCGGTCCTGGCGCGAAGACGGCTGCACCCCACTCCAAAGAAGAGGGACACTATTTCAGGCAGCAGCCGGGCGTGAGCCGTGTTACCTCTCCTTATCAGCCCGAGACGTGGCGGTAGCGGTGGCGGTGACAGGCGCAGCCATTACAATGGCAGCACCAACACCATAACCACCGTCGACCCGCGCTGGTCACACTCCCACTTCCCCTCCATCAGGAAATCCCGCCCCTTCTCCCAGTCCTGCAATCCCATTGGTTAATGGTGCTGTCTATAACCGCCCATCACCCTGTCATGAGGTGGAACGTGTACTTCCTGTGGGTTGAGCGCGCCTCTGCTGCGCACGCGCTGCAGGGGATGATGGCGGGGGGAGCACTGAGGCGGGTTGCTCCCCTTTCAGGGGTGGAGCCCGCACTTCCGGGTACCGCTGCGTTAGCAGGCTTCAGTGAAACACCACAATGGGTGGAACTCGGGATCTCGGCTCCCTGGAATAGTCCGTGTGGGATTACAATAGAAACCTTGGCTCTGCAGCAGGAATGCTGCCGTACTTGAAGCTAGGGCTGAAGGTACATGACAACTCGCACAGCAGCAAAGCGGGGCACCTACAGCCAGGGAGGTGCTTACGAGCAAAGGTTACCCTTCAGAATGGGTAAAAATCAGGTAGATGACTGGCTTCAATTAACACTTTATCAGGGGTCCTAAGAGGACCTGGGATATGAGTTCATAGGCACTATCTGGTCAAGCTTTTCCACTGTTCTACTTTTTCATAGATTGGTCAGCATCCAGCTGAGTTTCTGCTCCCCAGATCCCTGTGGTAGGTCTCCTACTATCGCCTTTGGGTTGTGCCTTACTCTACTGTAGCCCAGATTTCTGTTGGCAGTCTATGATTGCAAAGAGACTGGTATGGCTGCAGAACAGACACATGGCTTGTAGAAGATAGATGTGAATGTGTGTATGTGTGCATGCTGGGCGTTTGCTTTAGCACCACCACATTTTGCCAGAAGACACAGGCTGCAGTGTACGAACCTGGAGAACAAATTCCCATGCAGCTGTGCCTGCAGGACCACATCAGCAAGCTGCAAGAGTTCTGTGTCCTTTCTCTGACTCCTGAAGGCTAAGGTTGGTTTGAACCACCTGGTCGAGTGGAAGGTGTCCCTGCCCACGGAACTGGTCCCTTCTGCCCAAACAGTTCTATGATTTAGAAAACTGAGAGACTGACTAGTGTCTCTCATTAATCACAGCCGACTGGGTGATCACACTGCATGCTAGAGAGTGCTGTGCAAGTTCAGTGCATATACAGTGCTTAGCAGAGAGAAAACTGCAGAGGCCTGGCAGCACAGCCGGCTTTGCCTCTTCATGCATGTGTGCAGTCTGACAAAGAGAATGCAGCAGTGCTGATATGTACCCTGAATGTACTACGGGCACTAATATAAGCCCAGATGGAGGCGATCAGTAGTGCATAGTCTGGTTGGAGCCAGTAACTAGGGGAGTACCCCAGAGATCAATACTGGGTCTGATGCTATTGAGCATCTTCATTAATGATCTGGATGATGGGCAGAGTGCACCCTCAGGAAGGCTGCAGAGGGCACCAAACTGGGAAGAGTGGCTGATACCCCAGAGAAAGGGTTGTGCTGCCCTCCAGAGGGACCTGGACAGGCTGGAGAAAGGGGCTCAGAGGAGCCTCATGCAGTTCAACAAGAGGAAGTGTAAATTCCTGCTGCTGGCGGAGGCGACTAGGCTCCCTAGTGCAGGACAGACATGGACGTATACCATGTCCAGCCAAGGGCCATCAATATGATGAAAGGACTGGAGCATCTCTTCTAGGAGGGAAGGCTGAGAGACCTGGGACTGTTCAGCCTGGAGAAGAGAAGGCTCAGAAGGATCTCATCAATGTATATAAATACATGAAGGGAAGGTGCAAGATGATGTAGCCAGGCACAGACTGAAACAAGGAGGTGGACGTTCCCTGAGAACATCAGGAGATGTTATTCTCTGTAATGTAAATCACCCTGTAGTGTCAGTCACCCTGAGCAGTGGCACAGATTGCTGAGGGAGGTCATGAGGTCTGACTCCCTGGAGATACCCAAAAGCTGTCTGGGAATAGTTCTGAGCACCCAGCTTTAGGTGACCTGCTTGAGCAGGAGGTTCGACCAGATGAGCTCCAGAGATCCCTGCCAGCTACAACCATTCAGTCAGTCTGAAAAATGCTAAGAAGTATTTATTTATATTACCACACCTTCATATATTAATCAGATAAAAATTAGGGCAAAGCTTAATGAACAAGTAATAAAATCTACTTCTCACATGTATTTCCGCAATGTTTTTAGTTTCTCAGTTACTTTGTAAAGCAATTTCTGGTGCATAATGGGCTACCATTGGACCACAGATTGAGGAATGCTGCTCTGATGTTTCCTTAAAGAGGCCATTGAACACACCTGCAGTTTGTGAGTGGCACGGTACCATCAGTAATTAATTCAGGATCTCAAGAAAGATTTTGTGTATTTGTTTAATATTGTTAATATTCACAATTGCATGTTTGTTTTTTTCCCCTTTGAATTCATACAGGTTTTTAATACCAAGGTATTAGATTAATGGCTTCTCTTGTTAAAACAATATCTAAACTTACTGTGATAGAGCAAAAGCTACATAGCCAGTGTCATATTTGTGGTGATGACAAAAAATATTTTATGCATCTTTTTCAGATGGAAAAACAATTTTAAAGTTGTTGTGTCACTGAAAGTCAGGAGAATAAAACTCCTTAATACCAATGTAGCATTCAGAAGCAGGCATTGTTTATTGCAGCAGGATACTTCTGCCTAACATGCATGCTGATGCTTAGAGGTTTCTAAGAGACTTGGTGTCTCCCTCTTCTCCTCACTGGTTGTTAAGAAAGCAGCTACTTCAAAGAAGAAGAGGCATTTCAGCAGTTATACAAGTTTGTTTTCTATTATTTGCAGTGTCTTCCCCAAAACAATGACAACTTGAAAGCACAATGTGCTATTTATTTTTGAATTTGACTTAGGTGAAGACACAAAAAACCCCAGCCTTCATAAGACTGATTTGTATTTTCTGGCATGCTAAGGCTTGCAGGCCCTTGTTCTCATGGGGGACTTCAAACACCCTGACACCTGTTGGAATGACGGTACGGCCCGGCACAAGCAATCCAGGAGGTTCCTTGATTGTGTGGAAGACAACTTCCTTCTGAAAGTAATAGAGGAGCCAACAAGGAGAGGTGCCATGCTTGACCTTGTGATTACGAACAGGGAAGGGCTTGTTGGAAATGTGATGCTTCAGGGCACCCTTGGTTGCAGTGATCTGAGATGGTTGAATTTGAGATCCTCAGGACAGTGAGAAGAGCGTGCAGCAAGCTCACTGCCCCAGACTTCAAGAGAGCAAACTTTGGCCTCTTCAGGAACCTGCTTAGTAAGGTTCCATGGGATATAGCCCTAGAGGGCAGGGGGGCCCAAGACTCTTGGTTGATATTCAAGGATCACCTGCTACATGCTCAGGAGTGTTGCATCCCAAAAAGAAGGAATTGCAGCAGGAGGGCCAGGAGACCGCCTTGGATGGATAAGGAGGTCCTGAGGAAAATTCAAATGAAAAAAGGGTCCTATAGAAAGTTGAAGCAAGGACAGGTGGCCTGGGAAGAGTACAGGGATGTTGTCTGGGAAGCTAGGGACCAGGTTAGGAAAGCTAAGGCCCAGTTAGAATTAAACTTGGCTAGGGATGTTAAGAACAACAGGAAGGGATTCTGTAGGTATGTAGCGAATAAAAGACAGACTAGGGACAACGTAGACCCACTCTGGAAACTATCAGGAGAACTGTCTACCCTGGATTTGGAGAAGGCTGAGGTTTTTAATGACTTCTTTGCCTCGGTCCTCACTGGCAAAGGCTCTGACCGCACCACTCAAGTCTTGGAAGGCCGACACAGGGACTGTGAGAATGGAGACCCCTAGGGCCACTGTAGGAGAGGATCTGGTTCGAGACCATCTTAAGAATCTGAAAGTACACAAGTCCTTCTATGATGGGACTACAGAACTGATGGATGGGTAGAGCAGTTGACGTCATCTACGTGGACTTGTGCAAAGTGTCCGACACTGTCCCACACGACATCCTTATCTCTAAATTGGAGAGACATCAGTTTGATAGATGGAGCACTCAGTGGATAAAGAACTGGCTGGATGGCCACATGCAAAGAGTTATGGTCAATGGCTCAATGTCCATATGGAGACCAGTAACAAGTGGTCTTCCTCAGGGATCTGTGTTGGGACTGGTTTTGTTCAACATCTTTGTTGCTGACATGGACAGTGGGATTGAGTGCGCCCTCAGCAAATTTGCTGATGACACCAAGCTGTGTGGTTCGGTTGATACGCTGGGGGGAAGGAATGCCATCCAGAGGGACCTCAACACGCTTGCGAGGTGGGCTGATGCCAACCTCATGCAGTTTAACCATGCCAAGTGCAAGGTCCTACACTTGGGGCGGGGTAATCATAGCACAGCTACAGGGTGAGCAGAGAAGAGATTCAGAGCAGCCCTGCGGGGAAGGACTTGGGGGTGCTGGTTGATGAGAAAATGAACATGAGCCGGCTTCAGTGTGTGCTTGAAGCCCAGAAAGGTGACTGTATCCTGGACTGCATCAAAAGGAGTGTGACCAGCAGGTCGAAGGAGGTGATCCTGCCCCTCTACTCTGCTCTTGTGAGACCTCGCTTGGAGTACTGTGTGCAGTTCTGGTGTCCTCAACATAAAAAGGACATGGAACTGTTGGAACAAGTCCAGAGAAGGGCCACGAGGATCATGAGGGGACTGGAGCACCTCCCGTATGAAGACAGGCTGAGAAAGTTGGGGCTGTTCAGCCTGGAGAAGAGAAGGCTGCGTGGAGACCTCATAGCAGCCTTCCAGTATCTGAAGGGGGCCTATAGGGATGCTGGGGAGGGACTCTTCATTAGGGACTGTAGTGACAGGACAAGGGGTAGTGGGTTCAAACTTAAACAGGGGAAGTTTAGATTGGATATAAGGATGAAGTTCTTTAATGTAAGGGTGGGGAGGCACTGGAATGGGTTGCCCAAGGAAGCTGTAAATGCTCCATCCCTGGAGGTGTTCAGGTCCAGGTTGGACAGAGCCTCGGGTGACATGGTTTAGTGTGAGGTGTCCCTGCCCTTGGCAGGGGGTTTG